CTTCCAGGTGGACAGACGGCCGTTCGCAGGTTCCCAATTGGGTTTGCATCCAAGCGTACATTGCAGACCGAGTCACGCTACGCCCCGCACGTCCTGGAACTGGCAGCCATGAAGTTCGGGTTTGACCAGTTTGATGACATCGTATACGGGTTCCCAGTCATCGTGGAAACAGACTGTCGCGCGATCAGGGATGTACTTGCAGGCGGGAAACTGAGCACGTCACATACGAGATGACAAGAGGGCATATTCGGCCACAACATTGTTGCAGTGAAACACGTCAAAGGCAGCGCTAATGTTGCTGCAGACCTGATTAGTCGTCAGTACGAGGGCACAAAACGCACGGCAGGTGACAACAGTGAATGGTTGGTGGGTCCGGACTGGGATGAGAGGGCAGGCATCATCAACGACATCTTTGCGGTTGACATTGCCGATGACGAGGGCCAGGCCACGGGTACCGTAGTCATGGCGCTACCCAAAGGAGCAGCAGCTCTGAGGACACGGTTGGCAAAAGAGCCACTGTTCCTTGAAGTCCTCGACGCAATCCTTGCTTTGGACGGCAACGCATCATCGAGCACACGAAGGCGAGCACGACACCGGGCGAGCAAGTACTTCATCCAGGACGACAAACTGTGGATCCTTGGAGGTGAGAGCAGCGTCAGAGCGCGGTCGCGGAGGGAATGCATCACACGGGAGGAAGCTGTTGTCAAGGCAGCAGAAGTTCATGCTGAGCACGGCCATTTTGGGCGTGACGCCGTAAAGATTACGTTGATGGATTGTTTCCACAGTCCAGGGCTCGACGCGTCAATCTTGGAGGCGATTGCAGATTGCGGACGTTGCAAGGCGTTTGGTCCAAAACACATACATGCGAAGCTGGAGCCGGTAACCCGGAGGCAACCGTTCGAACTCCTCGTGGGCGACTACCTCAAGCTGCCGGACGGGAAAGCCGGGTTTCACACAGTAGCGGTATTCGTGGACACATTCTCCCAATATGTCTGGGCGTTCAGATTCAAGTCTCATGGGACGGCAAAGACAACAACGGAGTCACTACACAGGATATTCACGGACTATGTTCCTTCAAAAACGTTCATGTCTGATGGGGGGTCACACTTTGACAACCAACAGGTGCGGGACTTCTGCGCAAAGTGGGGCGCTACGCACCATGTCATTGCCGCGTATGCTCCCTGGATCAATGGCCTTGTCGAAGGCACCAATCGGCTCCTCCTGTTTGTCCTTGCACGGCTGTGTGCCCCAGACGTCAGAGTCGACGCTTTTGACGAGTTGGCATGGGACAGACTCCCACGAAGCTGGCCGGATATGTTAGAGCGGGCAGTGCACATCCTGAATTGGAGGATCCTACCCACGGTTAAGTTCTCGCCCAAAGAACTCCTCTTTGGAACAGTTGTCGATTCACTGAAGGCGCCAGTTACAGATGCCGAAGAACCCCTCTCCATCGAGGACACCGAGCTGAACATGGCCATGCAAGCCCAGACAAGGCTCGACGGATACGCAGAGCGAGTGCGTTACGCCATGGGCCGGAAACGGGCGTTCGACAAAAGGCTAGAAGGGAAGAAGCCGGGAGAAGTCGTTTTTGCGCCGGGCGAGTTGGTACAGGTGAACAGGGGGAAGCTAGAGACGACGATGGCGGCTGCCAAGAAGATGGTGTTCGCGTGGGGTGCACCATACCGGGTCAAGAGGAGGCTCCTGAACTCGTACGAGCTGGAGACGATGGGTGGGATTGCGGTAGCGGGGCTTTTCAATGCGAGACGGTTGAGGCGGTTTGTGCCGAAGAAGGGGTCGGATTTGGAGTATGTCCATCATGCGTATTTGGCGGCGCGTGGGTTGGTTGGCGTCGGGACGTCGCCACAAGGAGGGGGGGCACATGTGTCGGTGGGAGAGAAAGGGTGATCGGTGGCTGTGTTGATCGGATCTATACACATCCCGTTTGTTCCGTAGTTATGGTGCACGTGCCCTTGTCACTGCCACTTTGTGACAGGACCGGAATCCGGGCTGGATCGAAATTAAACCTAACCCTAAGACCTAAGTACATGTAATAGACTGTAGTCATCACTCAAATTTGAATCTCGCGCTCATTCCTGTCCACTCGATAAACGCATTCAAGCATGGGGAACGGTACCGCGGCCCAGAGGGCAAGAGCCGGCCTCGCTCGAGCCGCCAAAGCCATCAAGCGACGAGTGCTCGAGCTTGCGGCAGCGACGGATCGTGGCGAATGCCTGTGGGATGGAACGGTCAATAATGACGCCACTCTCGATGTCGACCACGTACCTGTCCTCCTGGACATCGAGGACGATGATGACGCCCTGGAGGAATTGACACTGGAGCCTGTATCGAACCCGCCGGAAGACACAGAGGACGACGATATTGTGGAGCTGCTCCCGCACGAGACGTTGGAGATGATTGAGAGCAACAAGAAGGGCGAGGATGGCGGGATGAGGGAGAGGAATGTCAATGAGGTGCTGAAAAAGAGGGCGTCCGACATGAGTGCGAAGGAGTGGAAGAAGGTCGAGAAGAACCGGGCATTGGGATACAATGGGCAGTCGAGGAGCTGGACCAACGAGACGATTCGGAAGGCTCGCAAGCAGGAAGAGGAGGACGCAAAGACACGGAACAGGTACGCCTCTGAATGCGCATCTCGTCCTCGGACTGTCATTCTGACATTGCCACTCCCAGCGCGCCCGCGAAGATGATGCGACAATTCTTCGCACCTCGTCCCAAGCCCCCTGTGCCTGAACCAGAACCCACACCCGTTCCCTCGGACTCACGCCCCACATCTCCAATCTTCGTGTACGATTCGGATGTATCGGATCTGGTGGAATATGACGGCTTGAAAGACCTGGAATTGGAGGATTCTGAGACGGATGACCCACCATCGACATCTGAGACGCACATCCGAAAGACACCGCAACCTGTTCACACCGATGCTCCACCGGAGGCTATCATCCGGGTTCGAGCACTTCCCAAGCGAAAACGGCGCAGACTCTCTGTCTCCGTCAAAGCCCAGCGTCGAAAGGAGCAGCTTGAGCGGCGGAAGGAACTCGAAGCTGCGCATGCGTCCATCAAGAAACACATTGCATCGAAGAAAACTGAATGGGAAGGAGGAACTGGGCTCAACTCATTGCAAGCTCGTCGAGCTCGTGCCATCAAATGCGAGCTCCGTCTGGTCTTGACGAAGGAAATGGCACATATGAAGGCGTCGGTCATCGCGGCACAGGCTGGTGGTTGGTCTGTGAACAACGGTGGGAGAAATGTCAGGCGATGGGTCCGTGTCTGGATCAACACACGCGAGCTGCCAACATCTTCCCGTGGCAAGCACGCGAAGACATGGTCCTTCCTGTCCGATCCGAATCTCCGAGAGAAGATTTCTGTCTTCCTTCGCACCAACAAATGGGCTGTTGATCCATCGAAACTGCATGCCTTTCTCAACAATAAGATGCTTCCGGAAGAAGCTCAGTCTTATGCGAAGGGAGTGGTGGAGAACGAGATGCCAGAGGGCTTGAAGAAATACATCGAAATGGATATCCTTCCTCGTCAATTCCAGGTCAAGAAGCACATCAGCTTGGAGACCTGCCATCAGATCATGCTCGAGCAGGGATTTCGCTTTACGGAACACAAGAAGGGACTGTATTTTGATGGACACGAGCGCCCCGATGTTGTTTCCGATCGGCAGGATCGTTATATCCCCGCTATGCTCGATATCCACCGTCCTCGTCTCGTCAAATACACAGTTGGCAGTGTCGATGATGAACTCCTCGGCCCGTCCATCAAAGATTGGATTCAGTATCCAGTCAGCACATTTGTTCGCCCGCGTCTGGTTCTGTGTGCTCATGATGAAATGACGGCACAAGCAAATGATGGTTTGAAGAAAAGCTGGGTTCTCGAGGGCGAACAACCGCTGAGGAAGAAGGGAGTGGGACGCGGATTGCACCAGTCCGATGTTATCTGCTCAACAGTTGGTTGGCTCAAGGATGCGTCTCAAACACTCGAGTATGGAAAGAATTATGAAGGCTATTGGAATGGGGAGCTGTTCATTAAACAAGTATGTGGCACTTCGAGTGTATCAATTCAAATTGATGTTCGCCCAGATCATCGAAAAGATTATTCCTGCTTTCGAAGCCGCCCATGGTCCTGGACATCAGATGCTGTTCATGATTGATAACTCGCAAGGCCATTCAGCATATGCCGAGGATGCGCTGGTTGTCAACCGCATGAATCTCAATCCGGGCGGTAAACAGGCGCTGATGCGTCCGGGCTGGTTCATCAAAGATGGCCGCACCGTCTCCCAGCCGATGGTGTTCGAACCGGGTCATGCGTCAGCTGGAAAGGCGAAGGGTATGAAAGCGGTGCTTCAAGAACGCGGTCTTTGGAACCCATCATTGAAGATGCGATGCAAAGATTCCTGCCTCACAAAGTCCTGTTGCGCGCATTCTGTGCTTACCCATGAGCCAGATTTCCAGCAGCAACGATCCCTTGTTCAAGAAACCATCGAGAACGCCAGGCATCTCTGCATTATACTTCCCAAGTATCATTGCGAGTTGAATTTCATTGAATTCTTCTGGGGAGCAGTCAAGCGATACCTCCGTGACAACTGTGATTACAGTTTCGACACCCTGCGCGCAAATATGCCGAAGGCTCTCGAAAGTGTCAAGTTATCGACAATCCGCAAGTGGGAGCATCGGACCTTCCGTTGGCTGGAAGCTTATTCCGTTGGTTTGGACGCGAAGGATGCTCAAAAGCGAGTGAAGGAGTTCTCTTCTCATCGATACAAGTCACACCGTCGCGTTCCCGAGTCCCTCGCGGCTCAGTTTGACAAGTAATTAATGTAACTTTTCCTGCACGTGATCGCATTTATCACGTGCATCACTCATGTAAGCCAGTCATGTGATAGGACCGGAATCGGCTGGGTTCCCGATTTCTCAGCTCGGTCAGTTTTGAGCCTATGGAAAATCTGTCTTAGGGTTATCTTCCTAATACTAAAGCACATCTTTCTGTAAGACAACTAAGAAATCTGCCTTGCCATGACCGAGTTCTCACGCTATCCAAAAGTGGTAGTGACAAGGGCACGTGCACCATAGGCTGCATCGTTGTTCTCCGCCGCCCCGATCCCTTAGCCCGCGGCTGTCCCAGCGTCCTCGGCCCATGTTGAACCAACATGTCGACTTTCGTTGCGGTGCGCCTTGGCTACAGCGCGCATGCTGCGGCAATCTACATCGCCCTTGGGAGTGCCACAACATTCCTGGCGTCTCATCGGTCGATATACGCTACACGTCGAGGTGTTGGGGGGCCTGTGTGCTGTTGTTCTTGACCCCTTCCTGTGAGACTCCAGGGCTTCTTCTCAGCGTCATCCCTCTCGCAATGGACCGGACCGACTTCGCCTTCGCATCGGCTCATGGCCTGTTTGCTCCTTTCTGCTCTCGGAAACATTATCCATTCGCACGAACGTTCTACCCAGATAAACTGTCAGTTACGCGCAGCAGCCTCTTCCTTCTCGCTTGTAGAGTGATCGCATGAACAAAGCGTGCTAGGGGAAGGCTCTGAAACCCTTCACAAACGAAAGCAGAGTGAGTGAACAGTCCGTCGCAGTTCTCTTTTCCTGCTTCCCAAAGAAAGACACTTCATGCTCACGCCTCGCTCAAGCGCCATGTACGGGATGGAGGGGAGGGATAAGCAAGATGATCCCATTTGTGTGTGTAGTGGTTCCTAGATATCAGATACGTCTGATCACCATCCTTCACAGACAGCGTCCGACTTTGGTGCGCTCGTGACGAACAACGAATGCCGGTGACGCTTTTTGGAAGCAGCGTCCACCGCAGGTGCTGGGCCCCTTCTCAGGGCGGGTGTTCCAACGTGCTCGACGACGAGGGGAACGTCCGATCGGACGAGGGTGGACAGATCGACTGGCGTCGGCGGGACAAACGTCGAATGGCGACGAGAGAAGCGTTTTTGGAGATTGGGTGTGAGCATGGGTGTGAGCATAGGAGCTTTCGGCAGAGCGGGTGCTCGGTTAACTGCAAGGAGATAGGAAGGGCGGTCAGAGATGTGGGGCAGCTAAGCGATTGGGGAAACCACTGACGCTCTTCCTCGGTCAAGAGGACTTCCTTCCTGAAGCAGACACCCGTGACGGTCTGGCTAGGCTTCGCGGGGGGATCCATCAACAGGATAGCGGCGAGGTCATTAGAGAACGTCTCGGGAGGGTTTCTGACTGGGAGCGGATCAGTGTCCGAATGCCCCGTCAGTGTATGGGACGGCCACTCACGCTGTTCCTCCGATAAGACCACTTGTCGCTCAAAGCCGGCCCCAGCGATATCTAGGCTGCCGGGAGGTGACTTGGCCTCGTGCGAGGTGGACGAAACCGACGACAAAGAGGACGACGAGATGAACGGCTTTGGGGGTGGTGCAGGCTTCCTCGTGCCAAAGGAGAAGAAGTTTGGGATGGTTCGGCGACGGATCGTATCAGAGGACGATGGGCTGGAGCGGATGATGTGCATAATCGTTATAGGTAAGGGGGATATCATTCAGTCTACATCCCCCAGCCAAGATTTGTACCTCCGGGGGTGTCTCAGACATGCTCAAATCCGCTGGCCTCCGAGACGACTTGCGACAGGGGATGTCTGAGCTGGAATCGGCAACTGAATGTTCGAGTCGCTCACCACGCACCCGTAACGTCATTGATTGCCCCAGAGCATCCACTTGGGAGGGCTGACCAAGCTCGATTATCACATCACAGCAACTGCAGGTTGCGATTATGACAAGCTGGAATCCCAGGAACTCGTGCTCATAGAACGAGCCGAAGATCCTCGCGTACGATGCTGCAGAGTATGTCCTATTTGCAATACAAAACAGGCAGATGAACATTCTTTATGTCTGTGGGCGGAGAGAATGCGACAACGTCAGCCAACCGGGCAGCACAAAGCTTCGGCGAAAAGACGATTTCGACGTTCCAGAGAAGCATACGACATTGCTCTTGGCTGTGACTAGGGACAATCTTTGCTGAGTCCGGCACGCTCACATTGTCTGAGGAATCACCTCCAATTCGATGCGGGCGGATAGAGTTGTGTCATGATTCTGATTGTATCGGCCAAGTTACAGGGTAAAGTAGGGCCTTCAGCATCGGATATGGAATGCGGTGTGACATGCCGGTGTGCCTAATGATGATAGCGAAAAGACGGTCGTTACGATGCGGAAAGTGGTTGAGCGGCAGCTCGACGGCGGCGGCCCACGATAGGTTCTGGCCCTGGTGGCAATCGATTGTGCACCTCCTTGGCAATCTGAGCAATGAGTCAGCATACGACCGCAGTCCGCGTGGCAGGAGATAGCGGCGTGCCTCAGTACGAGTTCGGAAGAGCTGGATCGCGCGCCTGCAGAAGACTAGTCTCAGGGGACGTCCCTTCAGCAGGTACATGATACTGCTCCAGTGTGAGAGAGAGCTCTCGAGGTACTCCTGCCTGAGCGCCGACGCCGTCGCGTGAAGTCTCAAGCAAAGCAGTCAGTGAAATACTCTCCACATTCACATTTGCCAACACTCACTGCTCAAGCTCCTCAGCCATCTTCCCACGCGGCTCAACCGCTCCCGTTTTAGCTGCAGCAAGGTACTCTTCGTCGGCCTGGCCAATGGCGGCCATCATCGCACGAGAGACTCTTCCCGGCGCGGCCCAGAACAAGACTGCGGCAATGACCGTGCAGAGAAACAAAACGAGACCTAGAACCTGCGGCGACGGCATAGCGGCGGCGACGTCATTGATCATGACCGATGGGATGTCAGGTGCGCCGGTGTCTGGGAGAAGCTGCGCAGGGCATGATTCATCGTCGAGTGGGGATTCTCTCGAGTAGATGGCAGGCATCGTGCGAGTCGTTTCGATGTGGAACAGGTTCTGGGTTTAAGTCGAACTTTGAAGGAGATCCTTTATAGTGCGGGGGCCTATCGGGGGAATGATTTGTGGGATTTGCCAGCATCCTTGGCGCCGTTGCGGAAGGAAGTAGAGCTGTGACTAGAGCACAGCTGCAACTCTATACATCGCCTTTAAGACCTTTACGCAGTATTTGCGGATCAGCTCTTGTCTTCAACACGTTGGCTTCCAAGGGCTTTGCCAAGGAGACTCGCTTGCAACTGTCCACTGCTGGCGGGAGGGAAGGAGAGCCGAAGTGATGGGCCATCAAAAATCATGACTCGGGTGGGCTGGAGGTGATCTGAGGTAACTTCCAATGCCGCTGCCCAGACAGGCGATGCCGCTGCCCCCAGTGAGCAAGAAATACTTCTTTTGTAAAACTCCGGAGAAAATTCATAGACAAAAATCGTGATCATCGTACTAGGATATTACGCGCTTCTTACACCTCTGCTACATATATTGTTTCGAGCACCTTTTTCATATTTGATCGCTTCAACTTGTCCTCAAACTCAGAAAGACAAGGTCTGCCCAGCCGTTCCCACTGTGAATTGTATCAGATCGGAGATCAACGGGCGTTAAAAATACTGTCACGGACCAACAGCAGCCTTGACATTGGCCGTTGGGAGCAAGGTGAACGAATACGGGGGGTTGGTGAACGTCCCGACCGGTGCTTATCCCAAATCAGTCATTCAAACTCGGCGGGAAAAATTCACTTACCGGTGTTATTAGCGCCACCGAAATCGTTTCCGGTGGCGACGGCAAAGCCGCCGTCGGTGCTCTCGATGGCAAGACTGGTGTTGATGAAAACATTGTTCTGGATCAGCATCTGGGCGCCTAGAACGCCGCGTCAGTGTGCTGAGCGTAAGATGGCTTCTGAGCACGCACCGTCGCGGGTGTTGATGTTGGTCAGGATATTGCTATCAAAGACGCTGTTGAACACGTGACCGTGCCCGAATCGAAGGGACGGTGCGCGGGAGTTGACGTGGCGCCTGGATCATGCTTGTCAATGATGAGGGCGGCTAGCTGTTGGCACACGCACCAAAGGTTGTTGGCGAAGGTGACAGTAATAACCGTGTCCTGAGCCCCGTTGCTGTCCGAATGGCCGACGAGCGAAGCCTTGAAGTGGTCGTGCAAGAAACTGTTGGTGACTGTAATTCCAGTGACGCCGTGTGTCCTGTAGGCCTCATTCAGATGGCTGATGCCCTGGCCGGTGCCAATCTCACAAATCGCAGAGTCCATCGTAAAAGTCCTTGCCGTGGTCTTGCAACAGAAATGATGAGCCCAACTTCATCCAGTCTCGGGCGGCCCACATACCCAGATCAGAGGAGAGATCCACGTGGTCGATCCAGACCTGATGAGCCTCTTGCACACCAATCGCATCGTCGGGGTGGAGCACTTTCGAGATCTTGACGTTGCGAATGATGACGTTTTGCTGCGGGCCGGGCATGTCAACACTGGGGAAACTCATCGAAGAACAAAGCCCAGCAAACCTCTCGGAAAACTCGCAGCCCAACCCCAACCAAAGCTACGATATCAGATCAGACAGGTGTGCATCAGCATGAAAGCACGCTGAATACGCACCCGATCCCGATTTGCCTATGATCGTGGTGTTCGAACCAACGCGCAAGGATCCAGTTCCCGTGATTGTGCCTAATAGTCGACGAGAGATTTGTATGAGGCTAAAATCCAGGGAGATGGGGCATACCTGAGATCAGCACAATTTTCTTCGCGCTCCCGGTGACTGCCGATGTGACTGGGGACTCAATCAGGATATGGAGACGGTGAGGATATTCTGCTGGTTCTTACGGGCGGCAAGCGTGGACACGGTAGTCGTTGGACCACCTGAACCGCCGGTTGTTCTGTACAATCTGCATCAATTTCGGTACTCCAGAAATGAGACAGCCCAATTACCCTCCGTTGAGGGTAGCTACAAATTAAAAGTTGGCATGCACAGTTCTGAGAGCGAAAACTTCGTGGGCGCACCATAACCAACAGTCGCAACATCGTTCACAGTGGCTCGCTTCACGACCGCAGCCGAGACCTGTCGGGGCCGAGTCCAGTCAGTGGTCGTCCACGGCGATCAAGTGTCGCGTACAGCCAGAAGGTGGAGAGCGATGGCAAAGAAGGCAGTTCGCATCTGGAGCAGATAGTCTTCGAGGGCAGAAAACTGGAGGCCAAAGACAGGTTATTGGCCATTTTATAGCGCTCTTCACGGAATTATTCCTGAGTGGCGGAATGGAGCTGTAGCGTTACGGAAAGAAGCGGCCCGCGGTTTAGTGCGTCGTATGTGGATTTGGGGAAAGGTATCCACTCATGTGCATCCGGGTTTGACGCCGGGGAAATGCACCGGGAATTCGCGGTTTTGTCTTGAGGTAGCCCCGTTTTCATTAGGCGCATTCTCTGCTATTGCTGCTGCTGCTGCGCTGGGGTTGTAATTCCTCTTATCTATCCCTGACTCCCGCGTTAAAAGCTGCGGAAACACACGCACAAAATAGATCTCGCACCACCATGATTTTCCGCGTCAACTCCGAAGGTCAGCAGAGTATGACCCCCCAGCTGTCGTGTCATCCCAACGGGCTGGGCATTGTTGCACAATCACACCCATGACCACGCCACAGCCTCCCCGAGCAGCGAGACAGCGAGCACAGACGGACGGGCAACCGGCGGACGGACAGCAACCATCTGGTCGGGTGCCCTCCCTCAAGTCACGGGAAGCCGCCAAATTGGCTTGGGATGGACTAAAAATGGCACAACTGTGCTTGGCGATGGTTGATGGGGCTGAGGCGAGCGGCACGGGGTCGGAGGATGGGGATGGTGAGCATCAGCAGCGAGCCTTGATCAACGTCACTTTTGGTTTTGCAGCCATGAGTAGCTAGCCATGTAGGTTCAGACAGCTGTCATTAGTCTCGTACCTGTGGGTTGATATTGCCTTCACCTTGATCGCATCAATGATATGTAGGCGGCCTAGATCGCCGCTGTCAGACTGGCAGATAAACAGTAATACGTGCAGCGCTAGAAGCCGGCTTGTCGGCATAGGTCAGCAGTGGCTGATGCCAAGTACCACTGGTGTATGATGCATACCATTGGTTGCCGTTGGTCTGTATGCACTGCTGCTGGTTCACATTGGTGAAACAAGGACAAAAAACAACTGTACACAACTAGGTGTTCATGTCAGGTTTTGACATTCTGCCCTTGACTTTTCTGACTAAGCTGCCTTTTTGGGAAGCCTCCAGCACGTGCATACAGAGGCTCCGGATCCTGATTTATTTCACATAATTATTGGTGTGTTTGTCCAGTAAGCAAGTTTGTTGACAATCTCGTGACCTCCCACCTTTCTCCCTTGCCCATCCCCCTCTTCCCATTCAATGTTGATAGGCTGGCTACCAGACGTGCTCTGCACCAACTCTATAAGGGTGTATTTTTGTGCTTTTACAGAGTTTACTCTTGAACCATTTGGTGTATTGTGACGCGGTTGACAGTGTTGCGCTCAGTAGGACTCAAGGGTCTGCTGCCCAGTCAACGACTGTGGATAGTGTTGATGACGGCAAGGCAGTCAGACCACTACTGTGGAATTGGTCTTATAAGTCTACAACAGACTCAGGGCTATGAGTGACGGACACTTGGGCCGCGGCAATTCCTTAAAAAGGATACTTTGTTGCAGAGACTCCTCAAGAGGGTCATTCTCTGCAGATGGGAACTCATGCTGGAGGGCTTAGCAATGCGCGACATGCTCAACATAACAACTATTACTAGGACTTGGCATTACAAGATTGAACCAATCTTGTCGCGGCAACTCCCGGCTTTGTGACAATCAACAAGAAATAATGTCAAAAAGAGAAGTGAATTTGAAGACTGGAGAATACAACCAAGTAGCTACAGTATTTATACCCAAATCCAGTCTGAGTCATATCTAAAACTAATGAGTCATAAGGCTATGTACTGCATGGAGCACTGGTCATGGGTTGTAGTGGAACCTTCCGGAGCATATGTCGCGCAGCCTTGAATCGATGAAGATAATCCCCAGACCCCTAGCCCGGACCGTCAGATGCCGTGATCTGCAATAAGATAATCCGTGTTGAGATAAGGCAAGATTGTTGGTGATAAGATGAAAAAAGGGCTGAACTATGACATTACTCCCTCTCTAGGGTCAATGTCCTCATTGACTGGGCCAATGGGTGTGAAGACATTTTCATAACGGTCAAACATTTGTTGTTGGGGATATGGGAGTTTGGGTTTGTAGCAATCAATGAGATAGTCCCAGTGTCCCGCTTCGAGCGTTTGCAGGAGGCGAATGCGTGTGTCTAGGTCCGATTGTTTCCTCTGCCAAGCCTTCAGGACTCTCTTTGCGTGGGTAAGGTGACATGATGATTGCAAGGTGTTCTTGCTATGTGGCCATCCCTTCCATTTGACCAAGTACTGCTTCCCTTGGCCAACGCTTCGTTCCTTCACGATTTCTTTGACTTCCAACTCTTCTGCTCCTCCAATCATCTTGGCTACAGGTCTCTTCTCTTGGCGGTGGGGGGGTGGTTTGTGATAGGGTGTCAACAGTAACTCGTAGAACACTGGGTGTCTCCGGTCTGTGTCCAGCAAATCCAGCTTCCATGTGGCCGCTCCAACCTTCTCCAATATCTTGTACGGTCCCAGTTTCTTGTTGCTCATCTTCTTTGATGGTCTATCCATCTCGATGTTGTCCCCATCTATGTACACCTTCATTCCAACCTTCAACTCCGGAACTTCTTTTCTTTGTTTATCTGAGTATTTTTTCATTTTTTCATTTGCTTTTTCTAGGGCTGCTTTTGCTTCATCTTGTATTTCTTTGATCCTTGTTACAAACTCCTCCGCCGACTTGTTTATTGATTCCATCCACTGCTCTACTCCCTTCCATGGGTGATATCCGTGTTTTGCATAGAATGGTGATATTTTGGTAGACGTGTTCATTTTATTGCTATATGCAAACTCCGCCATTCCCAGCCACTCTGACCAGTCTGTCTCGCGGTAATTGACGTAGATGCAGATTCATGCGCTCCGTTTACCCATCCGTGATTGGATGATATGCGGTCCCCGGGTTCATTTCCATGCCCAACATCTGATTCATCTCCTTCATGAAGCCCTTGATGTGTCGTGAGTCCCTGTCAGTGATGATCTTGCGGGGGATCCCATGATAGCGGAAGACTCATGTGGCGGAAGCGTCTTGAACGAGTTCCGTCACACGGGGAATTGAGTCGTCAATCCAAGAGAGACAGGGA